ACTGGCGACCTGTCCAGGTTGTACCCTGCCTTTTGTCCAATGCCAGCTGGGATTGGCTCCAGCCCCCCGCGACCCTGTACGCAGGATAAGCGGTTGATGATGGATGGATTACTTTCCATATTTTTACCTCATTTTACTCACTTTGGCCACATTTAAAATGACCATCCAACATTTTAACATTACATATATGACAGAAAATAAGGGAAAGCATAATAGGTCCCCTTGAGAACAACAACAAAAAAAGGTTTACTGTGGTTCCGGGTGGGCCTTCCCGGGGCATGGCTGAGGGCGGTATAATTATTATAATTTATTATCAAAAAAGATATGGAAATCTCGCTTTCTACAATATGGAACCTTTAAAGGGACAATGTGTAATTCCTGGCCACATGCTCCAAACAAATAGCAGGCAGCATTTCACCTCCTCCTCCCCCTCAGCCAGGCTACTCTACAGGCTACTGCTCCTCTGTTCTTTTCTAATTACATGTAAAGTAAGAGCTTATCTTTATACTAACCTAATAAATTAAACTTTTTCTTTTTCTTTTTCTTCTGCAACAATGACGCTAAAAGGACCATCGCCTTGTGTGTGTGTGTCTGCTCCTCTCCTGTTTAGACACAACTGACAAATATGTGGACGAACGTTATAAAAACAAGGAATAACAAGGCACAAGTGGTACAACACAGGACGGGCCTAGCGGGTTAGCTTGCTAATTTAGGGTGACATATTTTGGTTTTCCAAAAAGAGGATAGTAGGGGCAGCAGGCAGATGGACAAGTTTAGTAAAACAGAACAAGGGGAACGTGTTGCTCTCAAGAAGAGAGGCTGAAAGCAGCACACATTTGCACAATGGCATCCTGGATCTGGCTAAATCTACATCTGTCCACTGCAAAGACTCTATCTACCCGAAGGAGTAACTAGTTTTAGTGTACTGGACTGGCGACCTGTCCAGGGTGTACCCCGTCTTTTGCCCGATGCCAGCTGGGATTAGCCCCCCGTGACCCTGTATGCAGAATAAGCGGTTGACGATGGATGGATGGACTTCTGCATTAGTTCTGCATTACTGCATTTGTATAATTTAGATAAGCTGTGCTGTATTATTTACTTATTAATGATTTTAATATTATTAAAGAAATTACTTTATTAATGGAAGCTGAAGTGGATTTAACGGCATACAAGGAAAACAAGGATTTGAATGAAAGATCTTTTAGCATGGCTCTGACTGCACAGGAAATTGTAAATCTGCTGGGAGTGAATGTGAAACTCTGTGTAATGATAAAATATTAAAATATGATGATATCTGTGAACAGTGTGAACACAATATGCCATAATTGCACAACTCATGTAATGTAAGTGAATTTCTGTTACTTTATACAATCTGCAGAAGTAACATATTATGAGTTAGAGATTTAAAGCTGATTCTAAAGAGAAAATGATCTGATTTGAGACAAGGATCTTTACATTTAGGTTCCTCAAGGTTATTAATCCCTTATTATTAACATGTAATATTAAACCATCAAATTCTGGCTTGGTTTGCAACCCAATCTAAGCAGCATGGTGTTAATGGAGAATATTCTTAACTACTCTAAAGAGAATGTTTTCATATTTATATTTCCAGCCTTTTAAGATATATAAGATTATTTGGATTCAAACCAAATTATAATAAATACAGAGTCACTGAACATTAGTCTTTGGCCAAGGCAGCAACTTTCATTTCATTCACAGGTAGGAAAGAAATTAAAAACTAAAACTAATATTCACTGCAGTTTGCTGGGTGTTGCTATATGGGCTGAATGCAGCTGTTTACAACGACTGGTTTTCATGATTCCAACAATTTGGAAATATAATAAACTCGAGGCTTGTCTTATTTTATAAGGCTGACTAATGGACTTTGTAGGAGGATGTGACTTGTTAATAGGTTACTCTTCCTGCTCATTTTCCTCTTGTTTCCAATGATGAACAATCTTCCGTGTAAGAGATGGATGTGCTTTGGTGGGTCTGATTCTGTACTTTAATTCATTACACTTGACCCGGTGCTCAAAGCATAAGTGTATTTGCTTTCTAGCGGAGAGTTTAATGAGAAATTTCACACCACTCTCGTGTCTGTACGGTAAATATTAATTTACAGCCAGCAGCCACTTTAAATATTGTTACATTTGTATACAGCCATGTTAGCTGTTTCTAGTCTTTATGCTAAGCTAAGTTAGCTGGCTGCTAGAGGTAGCTTCATATTTACTTGATCTAGGAGTGGTATCGATTTCTAATCTAATTTTTTAAAGAATTATTTAAAATGCATCACATTTGTCGGGAAGCAAGTGGATTGTCTATATGTAAATTAAATAAATAATGGAGTGACTTCAACTTCAGAATTAGAGCACAGTCAAGAGTGTAACCTGCGTTGTGGCTTTAAGGTGCGACATTGTGTGAATCATAGACAATAACCTACCCTCAATACCTTTGGGTTTTCACTCAAACAAACAAATTAGACCAGTGCATGCAAATGCCATTCAACTTCATAATATAAGAAAGCTCTTTAAAGGTCGCAACATTTCAGGACTTCTCCAGAGCTTTCAGGAGGCAAGAAACACACCAGGTCTAGTTGCTGAAGCAACACTGATGGTGACAAACGGTGTCATTTCACCTTGAAGGGTCTTCAGAAGTAATGCTCCTATGATAAAGCTGCAAGAACAATATATCTTTTTGTGCTGTTGCTATGCTTGCCCGCTGACCTCCACTGATTAAAGAGAACAGGGAGATTAGTGTAGGAGGATGACAAGGGTGGGGATGAGTATGATGACTCCCTGGAATTGCTCAATTACCAATGCACTCCATTTGTTGCTACACATGCTCTCAAACAAAGTCACATCTGACTTCAAAAGACAAAGCTGTGATGAGGGCAGGGCTGTTGTTTTAGGCATCTGCCAAGTCTGTCTCTTGTTTTCCCAGCAATCTGCCTTATAAATTATCCTTCATTTGTACAGTGGTAAAATAAAAACGCTTTGCTTTCGTGACAGGTAATGAAGGAGATGAATCAAAATATTATATGATCTTTTCCACAAGATTTGTTTGTGCATATATATGACAAAAGTGCCAATCTGGGACTACAATGCAAAATGCATAACATATTTTTCTGTGTACAAAATCCTCATGCAATATACATGAATCCAGTAAACTTCCCCCTTATTTCTCATCCTGCCTGCGTCAGTTTTTCTCTTCTTTGTAATAAAACTCTCTTCATGTAACACTAAAGCCAATTACAACCAAAGGAAACCCTCCTTCCTTTGTAATAGCGTAATAATTCATCTTATATTTATTGAGTCTGTGCTGAAGGAAACATGACAGTTGTTGTTTTTTATTATATTGTGTGGTTTATTGTGACAGATCAAAATGAATTAAAGTGCTGTAGAGTATTTGTGCCTTTTTGCGCACTGCTTCACACAAAGACCAAAGACATTATCTGAATTTGATGAGAAAAGGTAATTTAGAAATTATCCATAATGAGTCTCTCAAATAACGAAGACGATTTAAATTCATGTAACAGAGTGAATGCATGAAAGGTTGAACAAAAGTTGAAAATGAAGACATGTTTGCTACAATTATAGATATTATTTTTCTACACTTAGAAGCATGATAACGGCCTCTACTTAAGATGAACACATACATGCAAAAAATAAAGAAAGAGCTTTAAAATACATGGATGGATCATGTTAAATTCACCATGGCTGTTGATGTGTAGTAACTTGAGATCGAGTCTTCATTTGGCAAGAAAGTTTTATGCAAACAACAAATATGCCACTGTAGTGGATGACAATATAAGAAGTGTTTGTAAAGTAATGAATTTGATAAGTATGGTGTCTCTAAAATGCCACATGGTATTACAACATACCACTTACAATGTGGCTCAACCGTGAAATAACATTTTCACACAGGTGATGTGAAAACAAAAGGTTATGCAGAAATATTTTCCTAATGAACACATAAAAAGAAAATCAGAGGGTATTCAAGCTCTGATAAAAAAAAAAAAATATAGTCCTCACTAAGACCACAAAAGTGGATCACATAAGCCATAAAGTTCTCAGATCTTTGCACTGGCCTTGTGTATGCCAAATAATAGATTTTTACTGATTTATAAAGCTCTGAAGGGTTTCTGATCTGCTGCTATGTTATGAACCGTCCAACTTCTAAAATCATCTGGGACAGGCTTGCTTACTGTCCCCAGAGTCAAAACTCGACATGGACACAAACATTCAGTCATAATGCGCCACACATCTGAAAATAAACAGCTGTCAGACAATTTGAGACCGCACTGCAATTCTGTTTTATTACATTTTAGCTTATTTTTTATCTTTTTTATTCTGCTCTTTTAAACCCCTGTCTTTTTATCAGGGTAAAAACTTGGATGTCTGCTTTTGAAAATATATGTTAGAATCTAAAGGTCTGCTTGTGACTGGTGTATGTGTGCATGACTCCTCACATTTTTGCTTCCAACTTTCACCTTAATAGTAAAAGCAATGACACACACAGGGTGACATCTCCATTGATGGAATGTAAAGAAATGTTGATTCTGAGTAAGTTTAGGCTACTTACAGGATGTTACATCTTGTAGTGTGGTGTAGCTTTTTTTCTGACATGAAGTAGTTAAAAAAAAACTGGCCCACTAAATCCACAGTCTGGTGAAATTTTTCTCCAAGGAAATTGCCCTTAAATTTCATCCAAACACAAAAATATCACAGGCTTGGCCTACATATAAGACACAGAGGCAGACTGAACAGTGTAACATTCAGTAGTGTATTTGTGTTCTACTAAGCTAACAAGTGCAATAAGAGTAACAAGTGTTAAAAGTGAACAAAAGTTTACAACATTGCTTGATAAGTTAATAAACAGTCACCAGCTGGAGTTCTGGCTTTACTCACCTTTAGTTCGTCGACCCCCCCCCCCCCCCCCTCTATTCAACCAACCTGTTGCTCAAACGCAATAACTTTTCACGCACGCGGGCTTTAGTGACGCAGCAAAGTGTCAGCGCGCGAGGTGGGTGTGAGACACGAGCCTTCATATTTGTCTGACGTGAGGCAGAAACTCTCAGAAGAGCAAGAAGTCAAGAGAACGGAACCAAAGCAGACAAGAAAGGCCAGCGAGAGAGGGAGATGAGGACCTTCCAGAGCCAAAGCCAGCCTGCGCAGCGCGGAGCCGCCAGCAGCCTGCACTACCTCGGGAGCAGCCCCGTGAGTCCGCTCAGCACGGCCAGCATCACCCTCGCAGCCCTACTCATCCTCACCATCCCAGTCTGCAAAAGTAAGTCAGCCACTATTTTATTTAATTTTAATTTATTTGATCCTCAGCTTTTGACAGATAAAACTCTTTAAGTTTTGCAAGTGTAGGCCTACTGAAATAGCTTTTTCATCAAAGATACTGAAAGTGTAACTTTTTGCCTCTGTGTTAACTAGGAATCTATCTATCTATCTATCTATCTATCTATCTATCTAAACCAAAACAAGGATTTTTATTATCTATCCATTTGTATTCACATTTAAGATGTGAACTGATGAATAGATGGAAGTATACATATTAAATACAAAAACTTGAAATTGAATTGAAAATATTTTATTTCCATGGACATTTACTGTACATCAGTTTGATGCTGACTCAAATGCAAATTCTGAATATCTGTCATGATTCATGTTAAAAGGATTTTTATTCATCCATTCATCACTGTCATTCCTGCTCCCAAACTGTGATGACAAACCGTCAGAGACAGATTACAGCCAGAAACCCAATTCTGGTCTTGCAGCCTCTGACTCCATGCGTCTTCTATCTGACACAAAGTCACAAACGATTGAGAAGTGTTAGATGGAGACTGATTGTCACTTCTTCTCATTATATCAAAGTGGCTCACAGGCTTTTGGTGCAGTTGCAGTGTACTATATGATCAGACAGATTATAAAAAGTAGAAGGTTTGATGAAATCTATTTTTTTTAAAAATCATGAATATTTTCAAAAGCAGACATCCAAGTTTTTACCCTGATAAAAGACATTTATAGGACATTTTAAGCTTTGCCAATATTGTTCTTTGACATTCATGCCAATAAAGCAAAAGTGAATTGGACTGACATCCACTGCAACCTTGTTGAAGCAGGGCATACAGGAGATGCTGAGAACTGTTGTTGTCACACATCAATTTTGTGAGGATGATATTAAAACAGCAGCTTTAATGGCATTATATTAACTGTGTAATTATGTGTTGAATGACACAAAAGGTGCTCCAGCAGAACTTCAGCAAACCACAACAGATCAGAAGCAGCTACTCAACCAGGTATGCAGCTCTGTTTCATTATTTCTTTATCCTTCCTGTCCATGTGCCTGTCCTTCATCCTCTGTGATGCTCCACAGATAGACGCTGTGTGCTCATCCTACCTCTCTGGTGACCTGACGTTTTGGGTGAGTGAGGTGTGATTCTGTCTGGCTGGTCCTTCTTTTTTTTTTAAACACACATATTACAAGTTTATACTTTATACTTTTTTTTAACACCCGCTCTTTTTTCTGGTCATTTTCCCAGGCATCGGATGTCTTAGGAGAACTCTGTGTCTTGATGCTATTTCAGAAGTCAAAGGTAACTCACACTTCATAATCTCTTATTGAACGTTTGTGTATGTCACCATACTAGCAAAAATGTATTTCTTTCTCACTAGATTTTACATAAAAGGGGACAGCAAAACATCGATTGTCAATCATATTTGAGTAGAGCTAAGTGCAGTTTCACACAGTGACCTGAACTACAAAGACACGTGTTATTGTCTTCTCAGGAGCTGAAAGTGAGAGAAAATAGTAAAAGGGTAAGTGCGGCTTGTTTTTCTCTTATTATTTTTCCCTAAAATGGTCAGACCAGACCCACAGAGACATGTCATAAGATTAAACCTAATCTCAAATTTGTGTGGGCTTGTTTGTGTGTGTCTGTGTGTACCTGCTTGTGTTTGTGTATGTGTGTGTGGTTGTTATTTGTTATTATATGTCATGCACTATATGTGCAGTTTTTATTTCATTACTCTAGACCACAAGGTTGTGGCTTGTCACGGGGGGCGGTAAGTAAGTTAAAAAATAAATCTGCACTGTGACACAGTATGTTGCTTGACCTAAGGAAGGCACCTCTAATTGTTTTACAACTATATGTGACCTGCACTTTTTGTGTGAGTATGATACTTCACTTGAAACAACTGAGTCTAGTGCACTAACTATTGTTAGGCAGTAGCACCAGCTGTGTAATTATCACACTTCAGGCTAATATATAGGTACACATGCAGACAAATACTGCGACAGTGCTCATATACAAAAATATAAAATGAAACCTTACCCTAGCACTCGTCTCCCTTGTTCTGTGCTCTGCATTTCAGATGCTTATTCTCTTAACCTGGCAAGATTTTGTGTAGGATGGCAACAGCATGGCTCCGCAGCCGGCTTTATTTCTTGATTGCATGAGATCTTGGGTTATGTTTGCTCCCTCTGTCTGTTGTTAAATGTTTATCAAGACACAAGTATAGCATGATATCAATACTGCAAACTTTGTCTGCAGTTCTTAATATCGCTACTTAACAATGAGGGAATTTGGATATTAAAGTACGTTTTGATGAATGAATATGATCCTTTCTGTTTTTATGTGTGAGTTAAAACTGCAAAAGATTATATGGTCATGTAGCAGAAAACAAATTCAACACAAATGGAGCAGAGCGCTTTTTCTTTGAAGCTGTAATAAAAGTAGACTTTAATGTTTACATTGTCTTGTGTCAGTGTGAAACCAGATGCCATTATTGTATTTATTTTCCTTTATGTGCATTTATGCTTATTGAAACCTATATCCCTATAAAAACATTCCAGGATGCCCATTCACTTGCAACAATAAACCATATTTCTTATATGAAATATGAAGTTATTTTGTGTCTCTGCTACTCCATCACTGGTATGTGAATACAGCAGAATAACATGTGTTTATCAAAACACTGATGCTAAGGCTGCCCTGAGGACGCCTTTGTATTATTTTTGCATGTCTGCATTGCATGGTCTTATGTTTATGAGAGTGAAACAGATCTCTTTGCTTCTGAAGAGTCAATATTCTGTACTTTCCTTCTCGCTGGAGCAGTTATTCATGTTTGTGTGTCTGGCTCTATCTGTGTGTGTGTGTGTGTGTGTGTTTGTCAGACCCCTCTGTTGCATCCCCTCCTGCATCTAGTTTCTCAGCTCCATACCAGAAGAGAGAGAGGACTGTCAATGCGCGTATGTACCACCCACGTCAGTTTTCCTTTCACTCTCCATTTTTGTTCTTGCTTTACAAAAGCCACTGATTGTTAAAACAAAGATATTGGAATAAAAATACTTTGTTTTTTAAGCATACAAAAAATGTTATGCAATCAATGGTGCCAACTGACATGCAATCTTTTCACAGTGTATGGTGTAGATGTCTCAACTGCAATAGGATCTTTGGTGGAAAATATAGAAAATAAAGAAAGCTTATTAATGGAAAATTATACAATTGTAGCATGCACAACAGAAGTAATGCACTGTAATTTTGTATGTTTTTAGCAAATGCTGATATTGAAAAGTGTTTGCTACATTCTGTAGTTGATCTCAATGTATGTTTTCTTCTTCCTGAGCTTAGATATCAATAATGCTTTTTCATATGGGGCAGCTCGCCTCAGTCTCTGTATGAGTTCAGTCTACATTAGTTGTTCTTTCCCAAGCTGCAAGTAATTATGGTCTAAAATTAGTTCAGTTAACAGGTGAACTTTGCTTCAAGCGCTG